ATAAATACATATATTATATACCTTACGGACAAAAAAAAAGAAAGAAGAAATATAGTCAAGTTCATATGTCGGCATGAACCTCTCTTTTCGCATAAGAAAGCAATTTCATAGATCAATTGGGCTAGAAAGGCCTTCCTAACGCAGTCACCCTCTTTGCATTCTTACTACAACAGCTTCGTGCTCGGTTCACGGTGTAGATGCACTTATTTCCCATTATTTTATGACATTGAATTCTCGGCAAAACAAAAGAATAGATTTTTTTGTTTTGTTTTGTTTCATACAGTTTTATTTTATTCCTTTCCGGTTTCAAAAAGATATTACTTTTTTAGTGGTAAATACGATAGAACTTAATAACCATTCACACGGCCAGCATAAAGGTATATTGAACATAGGTCGCCTTGCAGTCGGTGAATCAGCCTGCTCTATTGACTCGCGAACAGTTGTCACGCGCGGAGGATCGCGAACAGATTCGCCGGTGGTCATATAGGTCCCTGAGCTAAAGGTATACCTTTACGACCGTGTGAATGGGGTATAATACGCCATTCATACGGCAGCGTAAAGGTACATTTGGCACAGGTACCTATAGTAAAGGGAGCTGGAGATCGTGATCACACGGCGCATAACGGTCCCTTTCGCTAAGGGAGGTCCTGTGTTTAACAGAGCTCGCCAAGTTCCATTTACAGCTACAAAGAGTAGCCTCGGACCCACGAATTCAAAATGAAAATCGCAGATATATAAATATATCTTGTTTAATGCGTCATAACAAATGGAATGTATATAAGTAGCAAATTATGAAAAGATTGTGAACAGAAATGTGATGGAATAATACATAAACGAGGAACGTATACTCCAGCTAGCAGGTAGCAGCAGCGGTTCGTGGAAACAATGTCTGCTACAAACCCTAAAACGATGGACCACTGCGAGCTCTTTTTCGAGGTTGTAGACGAGTCGTCTTATCCTTGCCGTCGCCCATCCCTTTCAATGGCATGACTGCCGTAACCGTGAGACTATACGACGTGGTTCGTTTCTGCCGGGCACTATTTAGCTACTTGAGTGAGAATTCAAAAATATACGAAAGAGCCAGACCTCTTTGTCTGACTCTTTCGTATATTTTTGAGTTTATTACCAACGCGCTCAATCCAAGTTTGAGTGAGAACTTTGCGGAAAAAGGGGCTGCTAAACTGAAAAAGGTCGCCCACCTCGTAATGGAAACTCGTAAACGCAGATGATTTAGGGCCTATGTGGCCAGACGGGTCGAACGTCTTAAAGCAAGACTCATTTTGGTGCGCCCTCGGACTTAGAGAAAGAATAAATAAAGTGTCGCAAAAGCAAACACAAGGAATATTTAGGCTTTAAATGTGATATTTCACACACAATAATTAAAAACTGCGCGTCAAACTTATTTCGAGGAATAATTGTTTTTCACGTCCTCCTCTCGCGGTTTAGCAGGAATGTAATCAACGACAACTTAAAGTGTTCTGTTTATTTCTCGTGTGATCAAGAACGCCGTTTACTACAGGTACCTTCAGCTAAGGGACCTAAGCTAAAGGTAACTTTACGCTGCCGTGTGAATTGGGTATTAGACTGCTTCGTTTCAGCTTAAGTGCACGCAGGCGCAGCCGACAGTACAAGCTCGAGACATGTGGCCCCGAACACTGCTTGCACTGCACGAGAGCGCGTGCTTGGCAGGGACGCTAAAAGCCCGGATCTCGCGCTTGAAGCATCGGCTGCGTCTGAACTAAAGTTAAAAGGATTTCTTTTTTCTTTTTTTTTTTTTTATAGACGCGGTTGCAACGCATGTTTAATTCTGTAGCCACATTGAAGACGCGGCTATAGCGTATACTGTAAGCGCTTCTTCGATGCGGGGAAATATTTACCACCAGATAACTTATATTTCTAGCTATACCCATTTTAGCTTTTAATATCCTAGTTTAACGTCTTTATTACTAACAAAATTGGTGGGCAGTGTGTGTTTTGGAATACACAATCCACTATAATATAAATATTTGTTTCGTTTAAAGTAGCTCCATATAGCCTCTATATAGGCAGAAGGAAAGCGCACCAGGGGGAAAGTCAATATTTCTAGAAACGATATTGGCTTCCGACATACCTAAGTTTAAAAAACAAAACGTAATCATGAATTTGACCAATTTCACCGTGTCAATTTAAACTCTTCCTCTCTTAAACTGCTTGTCTCTCCGACTCACAAAAACAGTTTCGTTCACCATTTGAATACGATATATCTATCAAACATAATCGAGATTTCCATTCCTCTGAAAATTCTCCGACCTCAAAAGAAACCATTCAGATATCTCGGACAAAGATAATGCATAAACGTCCAAACGACTCCAAATACCCCTTTAAGATTCTCTATCACATCAAATACAAAGAGCCGTTTAAAAATGGTGTAATGTTAAAATAGTTCATCTTCTCATTACCGCAGTGCATGTTCTAACTTGTGCAAGGACGATTACTAGCGAAACCGATCACTTTATTCAAACTATACGGCGAGCAAGTGTCCCAAAATGCGTCATTGGCGCATCGGAACGCGAGGAGGAGCACAACAGTCCGAGGGCAACATATGGAACGGGCATGGAAAGCCCGATGACAAGGCAACCATGCGCTTGCCGTCACTCGTTCCCGTCGTGGTGAGACAAAAGCACGTGGACGAGTTTGGGGGGCAAACAAAAGCAGGAGGTGCGAAAGGAGCAGACCAACTTGCACACCGTATAGTTCATGACAGCAAGGGCTGGACAGGGCAGGGCGTGGCAACGTTGCGATGTTTGCAGATTACTTTATGTATGTCGGTATGTGGTTACTGACAGCTGAATAAATGCAAAGCGTGGTTTATTGTGTTTAGAATTCTTCTTTCGCAGTTTGTTATTGGACTTTTTTGTCGCGTATGTATTGCTGTTATCTTATTGACTTAGGTGCGATAATAGGATGCTAAGGTCTCTCCACGCCCCGTGCTACTTAAGTTGTCAGAGGACTACATGGTTTCCTGTATTTCCAAGTTAATATCGGAGGAAAAAGTGTCTCTAGTTATTAAGACTTCTAGGGTAACTTTGTGTTTATTTAAAGTATTGTTACCCAGAGCTGGGCGGTACCGAGATAAAAATGTATCGCATTAGAATCTTAGAGATTTTTTCGAGTCTCTGGATTTCTATATCAAGATAGATTTGAAAAATAGATTTGTATCTCCGTGGTGGAGTGCTTTTACGATGTACCGATTGCATCGCGATATTTTCCCAGGCTTAGGTATCTTGATACATTTTTTGTCAAGAATTTACTAGGTACATGAATTGATTATGTGGGACCGCCACATTACATTCTCTAAAAAAATGGCCGGTGGCCTATTTGACACAACTAAAAGTACAGGGTGTCACAAAAAAAAAATTACACGGTCTTTTTTACCGCAAAAACAAACTAGGCATCGCCGAATGCTCATTCTCCGCCCAAAGGTAGCGCTAGAGGTCACAACCAGATGCCAAAGTTTCAGCCCGATCCGATAACTTAATCAATAGTTATAAGTGATTTTCTGAAAATTTCAATGAGAAAATGGCGGCCGACGGAGCTTTCAAACACATGGGGCTCTATGGCACCAGAAACCGAAAACGGGCAAAAATGGGCTCCATTTTTTCTTTGAAATTTTTAGGAAATCACTTATAACTTTTGATTAGGTTTTCGGATCGGGCTGAAACGTTGACATCTGGTTGTGACCTCTAGCTCTACCTTTGGACGGAGAATGAGCGTTTGGCGATGCCTAGTTTATTTTTGTGGTAAAAAAGACCGTGTAAATTTTCTTTTGTGACAACCTCTGTAATATTCCAAACAATAAATAAGGCGAAACAGGGTTAATTTCGTTCAGGCTACATTCACGTATTTTACGAATTTCGAAGACGGTAATTACTCTTCTTTCGCAAAGCCAGAACAGTCCCTTGTGAGGGCGGAACTCTTTTGCAACCTTGACAACACCCCCCCCCCCCCCCCCCCCCCCCCCCCGGAAAGGCGTCGCACTGCTCCAGGAACTCTTTGCCATTGAGGCGGTATTAATTTGTCTAGGCGCCAAAAGAGACGCTTTTATCTTTTGCTAGACTGGTACTTTAATCAAATCGTAGGTGCATTGATAATAAGCTATTTTTCTGATCAACTAAACGTGTGTAGTGCTTCAGAATTCTGATGTTCCGATTGCATGCCATATTTGGTACTCGCAATACATATGACGTTGTTTGAAATTTGCCGAATTATTATATCTATTCCTGGAGTATGACCTTGTTCGTGGGAAAAAATATATCACTATGTATCTGTATCGGTATTCTGGAATGCTTTCTTTTTTTGTTTTTCGAAAGTATATCGGGAATATTCAATTACATAGAAGATGAATGTTTCTCAGCATCTGAATTTGGGCCTTAGAAGAGATCTTGGTATTTGTATCCTAGATACCCTTGAAGTATCACTTCTCAGCCCTTCCGTTACCCAAGCAATTTTTGTAGTAAGTAGCCTTTTCATAAATATATGGCTTCGACACATTCCAAACTCTTAGCTGCTTCATAATACAAAGCATTTCGACAACACTGTAGAGAAGACACCTCGCAGCATTTATGCCGTCCCCAATTATTAAGTTATTGGGTGTTAACATCCTCAAATCCTTTCAACTCGTCGCTTTATTTTTTTTCACCGATCTAATACATTTTCAGTAACGGCTATAAAACACACGTTCGAAAACAAAAACGTAATAGCACAGAAAATTCATAAACTAAAAAGATTTTCACTCCATCTTTAAATGTACAGACGGCACGTACCTACAAATATGGTTATGTTAAACGATTTCTAGTGACTGTTGCGAAGCACAAAAATAAGCCTAATTTTGTTTTCTGAGAAGTATAATGTAAAACTAAATTTCAAGCTTCGATTTTTTTTTCATATTTGTGTTTTAGCTGTAATTAGGCATTTTTTCCCCCAGAAACAATGCAACCCCAACAAAATCAGACGCAAGAACGTTGGTAATGCTCGCAATGTTTAATTCAATAGTTTCTCACAAATTGCATACTTCCAGTTTTGTTTGCTCCTCCAAACGTGCGTCTACAAAATAGTATAGTTGCTGGGTAATCCGCAGGATTCTGCCGTGAACGCTTCGGGAAACTGATCCCTAACAACTTCGATAAATTTGTTTACGCTGCATGGCACAGGGCAGCCAACTATCGGGAACACCTCGGGTCCTGCCGTCCCATTTCTATACAGGATCGTGATCTCGGGTTCACTCTGATCTTTTTTCGTCACCTGGAAGAGCACCAAAGAGCCATAACTTGGTCTTTGGGAAAACGTTTCGTTCAGAGCCGCCAGAGTTGCCATGATATTCAGGTCGTGATAAGAGAAAAGCAGGAATTTGCTATGGCGCGTCGCGTTCTGTAGTCCTGGGATGGCAACAGGAGCGTTCTCAGAGTTGTTCCCTGCAAGCTGATATCGGTCCTCGAGGAGCGTGGAAATGTCCCTAGAAGAATAAGAAGAATATATGGCAGCTTTATCTTAAGAGCTGGCATGCGTCACAGACGGGGCGAAATACGAGAGTTGATATCCTCAATGGTAAAAGAAACATTAGGATTTCTAGAGAGGCGTGCATGGCGCGGTGAGACGAATGGATAGATAAGTGCCCTTCCAGGGGCTGCGGGGGTCATGTACCTTTTGATTACTTCGATACCATCATCCGTGCTTGTTGACTATAACGACTGGTTTGAAACAACGGCGTAGATGATGAATAATAATTTAAAAGAACAAAAAAAATTAAATACAGTTTTTAAATGGATGGCATTCTCGAGGTTGACTTATAATATTGAAAGTTAGGTATTTTTGAATACGCAAAGCTGAAATGTCGAAACGCGGAATGTGGCAGATAAACAGCAAAAATAGCTATACATTAAAGATAGTCCAAGTAAAATTTGAAAAAAATTTGAAGTGCCTATTACTATGCGTAACAAAACGCTCTTCTGCTGAAACCCATAAATGGGTATTTACGTTTTTGTGGCGTTAAACTGTTCTATTCACTATGTTGTGCTAATTGACCTACTACTAAATTACCCTTGCATTAAGGAGAATGCAGGAATTGGTGTTCCACGCGCCGCACGTGCTGGCCTCAGCAGTACGAACTTTTCTAAAGCAAATGCCTAAAACAAGTTGCGTCTTTGTCCCGTTCAACCGAGACGGACCCCGAAATCAGAGGAAAAGGACGAACAGATTACGAAATTCTACCGTATGTACATATATTTACATAAATAAACGAAGCAAAAAGCATAAACTAACATCTAGTACAGTATCGCCTTAGACCCCTAAAACCAAGTCTCCGCCCCGGGCACTCACGACCTTGAAGTGTCCCTGCTCGTGTGCGCTTGAAGGGGGCTATGTTGTACGTTTTGGACTCCCAGGCGACTAGGGCGAAGAAAGGAACGTAGGTGTGAATGAACGTATCTTAGCAGCACCACGCAACGCATCATCAGCGACTCCACCAATCAACATCCAAAGAGCGTTGCTGACGGCACTCCTTTCTCCCTAGTCCCCTGGGAGTCCAAAACGTGCAACATAGCCCCCAAGGGGTGCTATGTTGCACGTCGAGATATAGTTAAAGCCTGCCTCCTTGCTTTTGGCTTAGATGTTAGACCGTTTTCATGGCAAATGCCACCAGGCGGTGCTCAAGTCTTTGACTTCCAGGTCAAAAAAATAATGAACAAAGTCCATCCTAACACAGCGGTTTGAATTGTCGATGAAGCCTTCAACAACCAATTCTCCAGTTGAACACCAAAAGAACGAAGAAGCACGAGTTTTGTTAAAAAAGAAGTATAGGATTTTCTTGTGAATCAACTTGCCTCCTCCAAGACGTTAAATTGTACAACCGAAGGCCCTCGTTAAATCTCTAACTTTGTTGTCCGTGTAGCATTTATGCTTTCTAGCAATGCTCACATAAGCAGGCCCGACAGACTTGCAAAGACGGAGTGACCGGAAGTCGTTTGAGACGCAAGCTGCCGTTCATGTTTGTAAACAGCAAAAGGGTCTATAGTAATACGCGAATGCGATTCCGGATACAGTGACTCCTAACATACGATTTTCAATGCGCGTTACTTCGCGTCATCTTTGCAGCGGACGCTACGGGCTGATATTATCGCGTGGTAAACTCTAGACGGAAAAGTGAAATCACGCGGACGAGACTGCGATTCAGCCTACCAAGCGGAGTGTCCTTTCTGATTTTACAGCAGCGCTATTCTGCACTCGAAAGGCCGGTTCACGCATACAGCGGAGCGCTCAGTTAGCGCCTCATCAGCGCTGAACGCAGCGCTCATGTCGCACCGACTTGCGCGTGACGGAGCGCTCGGTTAGCGCTCCAGAAGCGCTTTAGTAGGCGCTCGGTTAGCGCTTCAGTAGCGCAGTGTTGTGCCGTTTTTGCTGCTGCGCAACAGCGCGTGCTCGGTGATTCCGTCGTTGCTTTTTTTTATTTGGCACTAAAATAGGAGGAAGTAAAAGAGCCCCTTTCCAAGCAGACGGTTGGGCGGACGATCTAGACTCGTAGACTTTGAGCGACTAATTGATTAGGCACGACTTCATCTCTTTCTTTTCGACATGCGTGACCCTGGTTTCAAAGACACGCAGTTCAAAAAATAATCCACCTTCGAAAGAGCTCTGTGTCTCGGTCCCTCAGCCTGGGAACAAGGTTCGCCAGGTACCCGTCGGTATCTCGGTGGCGAAAGATTTCGCGCACGCAGATGGCTCTTCTGGGCGTTAAGTTGTCCACCCACATATGCACTAATTGCGTATTGAACCGCGTTTGTCGCGTTTCTATTTTAGCGTTCCACATGTCCGCCATAATGCTGCGGATGCACACCTACCACAGGAACCGGAACCGCAGTGCACGCGCTAATTCGCAGCAGAAACCGCGGTACGAGAAGCGCTAACAAGGTGCTACTGAAACGCTAACAAGGTGCTACTGAAGCGCTGACAAGGCGCTAAAAAAGCGCTAATCGCGCGCTATATTAGAACTACGTCACGCACTAGGAAACGCCACATGAGCGCTCTTTCAAGCGCTCACGTAGCACTGACTTAGCGCTCCGCTGTATGTATGAACCCTCCTTTAGTGAGCACGCCAGAATGTGCGATGGAAGGAGAATAGGCGAGAGCAGGACGCGACAGGTGTGGAGTTGCTATCGACTGCAGGATTTTACAGCACTTTAAAGGCTTAACCTCGGGAATACTCACACCAGCTTTGTCAAAAGCAATCGATTGTCACATCTCTTCTAGCCCAGCAAATCGGAAGGACTAAAGCCACTTCATACGATAGTGTAACGACATGGTCTGAAGAACACCCCCCGCTATTGTTTGACAATCCAGGCGTCGCTATCGCATCCGCGCTAGCGAAAGAGCTAAAAATAAACATAAAAGAGAATGTGCGACGAAGAGTGGGGACAAAATGCCTCTACCGTCCGTGGGCAGTGAACTGTAGAAGCATGTAGAAGCCAATGGTACCAATCAAACCACTCAGCTACTTGGTTTAAGTTTTTTTTTTTTTCCGGCATGCAAATATAATTGGTCACTTTGATTAACGTCAGGGATAAATCTGTCTCTCTACTAAGTAATTTCCAGGTGTCATTCGAATTAAACAAAACAGAACACCAATATCATTGTGAAAAGTGCAGACTGAACAGTTAGGCAATTGAAATGAAAATATTAGTTCGTCAACCAAACATCTGTTCGTTTCGTTAAAAAAAAAAAAGAAACATAATCTTGCGGCACCCCTGTTCATTCGGGTGGTTCCCGTTTCGACCCGTTCCCATTTCAACCTTTCCGTTTGTACCTTCCCGTTTCGACCCGGCTCAAAACGACCTTCTTCTTTCATCCTTTCCCATTTCGCCCTATCCCGAAACAACCTTCCGACTTCGGCCGTCGTTCGTTATCAGTTAGGTCGGTTCGTTTGAATTGTTCGTTAACAGTTGATTAGGTTCAAGTGTTCAATGACTGTCTTCCTTGCTGACCTCACTTCTTCTCCCGAAACAACCTTGGAGACCTGGCACCGTGAGATAAACACGGCGTCAGGGAGCGCTCACCCGAACATTTACAGCTTCGTTGATTTTATCAAACGAGATGAGGTTTGGAAAGGGTATCTTTGCAGCAGCTTGCAGAGTGGTGCCGTACGGGCCAGGGGGCTCAAGTGGGTCAGCAAGGACCATAAACGATCAAAACTGGAGTGTCGCCTTTCTGATGGCATGATTCCCTGTTGGACTTTCTCAGGGAAAGTCCAACAGGGAATTTTTTTTTATAAAATTATTTTTATAGTGCGCTTTTCCTCCATATTTAAACCCTCGCTCATGTATTGCATCCGTACGGTGCCTTTGAGCTAAATAAACGAAAATAAAGTGAAATATGCCTGTCACCCTACCTGGTTTGTTGCTCTCCAAAAATATCAAGATCACTAATATTGAGGTTTTAGAATAACGTACGCAAGCACCTTGGGTACCCTAAAAATAGCGTCGCTATGGCGACGCTACTATTAGTTTACCCGATGTGCTTGTGTAAGCGCGAACAAGCGATAGGCAATGTTGCTGTTAAATCTCATAGAATTGAAAGGCTGACATGAAAACTATTACTGTCTTTGGAAGTGCTCATCTGGGCCAGTACCCTAAGTCAGTGGTTCTCAAACATCGATGTTTCGTGGACCCCTTGTGGATCTTCGGAGATAATGGGGGCCCCCATTCGGGGTGAGTGGAGGGGGAGGGTATAGGTTAAATATAATATTAATTGAATAATGGATTTAAGTGTGGGCTAGTGTAAAGTAGACCTTTCTTATTCATATGCACACGAGGAAACTTGCCCAAAAACTAAAACATCTCTTCTCGACCTGGAAAAAAAAAACTTTTATTGCCGGACTTGACTCATGAAGCAGGGCTTCGCGGACCCCTAGGATGCCTTTGCGGACCCCGACCCAAAGGGTCCCGAATGGTCCGCGGACCCCCCTTTGAAAACCACTGCCCTAAGCCAAAAAAAAAAAAGATTGGTGCTAGCTAATACCATTTAGATGTAAAATTTAAAAAAAGCGACAACGTCATCTTTCCAGTAGCGGCGTCGCAGAGAGTACATGGACCGTTTCGGGGTTGCGCGTTAAGGGGATCATCCTTAAATAAAACAAGCAAAAACACTTTAAGTGGTTGAAGTAAGAATAATACATTACTTCGAAGCTTGCTTGAAATAATGCATATTTTTAGAATACATTGGCATGCAATAATATTTCAGAACATATTTTCTTAAGCAAATAAGGTGCGCAGACCAGGCTTAGAACGATTAGAATTTTCGCGAAAAGGTTGCGATGTGCCGGGTCTTATACAAATGGGTCTTTCGAGTATTGGTTGAAACGTGGCGGGTCGAAATGAGAAGGACGTTTCGGGAGTGGGACGAAAAGGGTCGGGTTCAAACGGGAAGGTCGATTCGGGAATGGGTCGAAATGGGACGGGCTAACAC